AAGAAGAAGAAGAAGAAGAAGAAGAAGAAGAAGAAGAAGAAGAAGAAGAAGAAGAAGAAGAAGAAGAAGAAGAAGAAGAAGAAGAAGAAGAAGAAGATGATGATGATGATATTGGATTTATACCCCGCCCTTCACTTGGAGTCTCAGAGCGGCTTACAAACTCCTTTCACTTACCCTCCCCACAACAGACACCCTCCCCACAACAGACACTCTGACACAAACTGCTCTTTCAGGAACAGCTGTGCCAGAGCTTGTGACTGACAATGGGGTCTCTGCCCACCTTTGAGGGATCCAAGCTGTATGCCTGATGAAAAGTACTGAGGCCAGAGACTGATCTTCCTGTTTCCTGCACCATGAGCGATGCATACAGGAAGAACCAGCAGGCAATTCAGAGCCCTCAAAGAGTGGGTGGAGACCTAGGTGCCGCCCTGGGACCAAAAATATTCCCCACTCCTCATCTATCCTGTGCAGCTGTCTAGAGAAAGTGTAACCTTTTTCTTCCTCCACTGAGCAAGTCATTATGGTTCCCACATTCAAGGAATAGGTGATGACATGCCAAAGTCTTTATACAGTAACTTATATCTTTGTTTCCTTAGGGGATAACTTGATTTGATTTATGAAACCTGTGAGAGAGACTCCCCTACTACAATACGTGGTTGAGTGAAAACAAAACCATATGGGGGAAAATTGTATTGTTGGACTTGGTCTTCCTGAGAGAATGGAAAACAGCATACCAGGTTTGCTTTACTAAATCAGAAGGGATGTCTATTACTAATATGGCATCTCATTTCTGCCATCAGCCACAGAATTACGAGTTCACTATATGAAATGGCTAAGAGAAAGACTACATATACGCTAGGCTAAAAATCTAGGAAAAGCCTTCTGCAACCTGCGTATATCATGCAAATATAAGGCAGTACAAAAGTATTTGCTTAGGGAATAGGAAGCTTTTCAGAAGCAGACTGTGCCCAGGAATAAGCCTTGCAAATAAATTACTGACTTTTTAATTTGCTTGTACGTGTCAAATGTGATCATGGAGACTATGACAAGTTGGTTCCAGACCCTAAGAAATTATGTTCAAGCCCTTGAGGTGGAAACAGGGTGTGACTTAGACCTCAAAGGAGCCATGACTGAATAAGGTCACCCACTGCGGGCAGCTTCATCACAGCACCTCTCCAGAGGTCATTTTCTCCATCTATGCTGCAATATCAGAAATAGTCCTGATGCATACCTACGCAACAACAAGATGGTAGAGTGGACAGCTCTATTTCCAACAGCAGCCGGAAGATCTGGGAGGTGCATGTTTTGGTGTCCTTCCTCACTCCATGTTGAAACGCACACAGAGAGAAAACAAGCACAGCAAACAAAGAGAGAAGGGAGGACTGCTCCCCTTGCTGTGTTTTCTGTCTGCACTGAATTTTGTTATGCAAAGGAGTGGCCAGAGGTGGAATCCACCACTTGCAGTCCAAAGTGGTCCATTCTACCATTTCACAGCTCTGCTAGATGTGTAAACCAGGCTTGAGCCCAGCTTTGGGGAAAAGCGGCTATTGGGAGAGTCTGCAGAGGGAAACGTTGGGCGGGAAGGGTTCAGCATCCTTCATTAAATTATACTCCCCAAAGCCCAGCTTCACACATTTAATGATGCAGGTCTGCCACAGTTGCTTGGATTTTGGCCCTAAAACAGATACTTCCCAATAGAGAGGGAATGGAACACGGCATACGATCTCTCTCTCTCTTTTATTATTATTATTATTATTAATAATAATAATAATAAAGCTTATATACATAATCTTACATTAAATCATTATACAATCATTTTACCCCCCCCTCCCTCCTTATAGTATCTTCATATTTTTAACCATGTGCACAGATTCTTCATTCGTATTTGGATATTTGGATTGGCTTCCCCCTTTCCACCCATTCCTTATATCCCACCCATTTATTTGTAATCTTTTGACATTTCTCTTCCCATGTCTCTTCAGTAATTATCTGGCATACGATCTGTCTCTATATCGTACAGAACACATATCCTACTGCCTTGAAAACTGTGACATCTCTTTGGCTTACCAATTCAGTTCCTTTTTCCCTTGTGACATGGAATTGTTCAGGAGTCAGTTTCTTTTGCCAGTCAGTGGTAACGTGTGACTCGTCATATCTTGTCAGAGAGCCCGTGTCTTTATCTGGAAAGGTGGGAGAGTCAGAAGCACATTTGAATATGCTGAAATGCAAATCACAGATATGTGGCCCATGACACACTGAACAGGTTTTCATGTGCCAGACTGGAGGCTACACACATGCACCAGATGTAAAACTAGCATTACAACCAGAGCCAGAGAGAGGCAATGTAGTGGCAGGCCTCCCTGCATCTGGGAGGGTGCAGAAAGATCAGGCCCTCAGAACAGCTGCTGAGAAATGGGTTTCCCACCACAGCAGCGGAATTTACCAGTAGGAAATGGTCAAAGGTTCATTTTCATGTTGAAGTTTAACAAGGCCTGGAGTGCAATAAATAGGGATTATGCACCGTTACTAAAAAACACCATAAAGAAAGGAAATGGTCTCAAAAAGATATCCTCTGGCTCCCTGACCCCTGATCCTAGCCCTGCTCTCAAGCTCCAGCATGGACGTTGCTCTGTTCCCAGACCAGTATCTTGCCTCTTCCTTGCACTCAAAAATAACCATGCAGAGCCGAGCCAAACCATCAACACTGACTGTGCTGTGTTCAGCCAATCAGTGCAACTGGCCGAGCAGCTATACATCCTAAACGGCCTTGTGCCAAGTCAGATTGCTGGCCAATCTAGACCAGTACTGACTCCAAGGCTCCAGGCAGAGGCCTTTCCCGTCCCTTATATTGAAGAATATTTTCATCTGCAGATGCCATGGTTTGAATTTGGGACCGTGGTCTCAATAATGACTTCTTCCTAAAACATTTTCTAGGGTGCAGGACCACCTTTTCATTCAGCTATGGCAACTTTGCGATGATCTGCAGGGCCATCCTAAGCAGCTGCACCCCAAGCCCACTGACGTCAACAGACTTAGAAGGATGTAACCCTGCTCAGGATGGATTAACACATGGAATGTTTTGGAAGAGTGATTAACACATGGAATTCACTGCCACAGGAGGTGGCGGCGGCTACAAGCATGGATGGCTTGAAGAGGGAATTAGATAAGTATATGGAGCAGAAGTCCATCAGTGGCTATTAGCCACAAGGTATAGATGGGAACTCTTAGGCTGGGGCAAGTGATGCTCTGTATTCTTGGTGCTTGGGGGGGGGCAACAGGGGGAGGGCTTCTAATGTCCTGGCCCCACTGCTAGACCTCCTGATGGCACCAGGTGTTTTTGGCCACTGTGTGACTGAGTGTTGGACTGGATGGGCCACTGGCCTGATCCAACATCGGCTTCTCTTATGTTCTTATGGCATGGTCAAACGCACAACCCCACGAACATAAACACAGCAGAAACTCAGGGCCTAAACCACCAAGCCCTACTCTGTGAGACCTGGACTAGTCCTGAGGTTACCATGTGGGAAGAGAAACAAGTGGGATGGTAACAAAAGGCCAAGAAACAAAAACACCGTGGCCCACTTAGCCTGCACACATTAGCATACAAGCCAAAAAATACCATAAAACAGAGAAAGTAGAAGTCTTTTTCGAGCCTTTGAAGTAAGAATTCAGCCATATGCACCCTACAATGTGCATCAGTCCCATAATCCCAATATTCTGCAACACGCAGCAGTGGAAATTTGTCATCATCCTCAGCCGAAGGGGACCAAATCCTGAAAGGGTGTTTGCTGAACTCCCTTCAAATTCTCTGGGCTGATGCACTGTTTTGTGAGCACCATTATGCTATAATGCTTAGTTACTGAACAGGAGGATATAGAAAGAAAAGACTGAGGCAATGGAGCAGTACTGAGACCTGTGCCACTCTTCATCCCACATCCTTCTCAGGCAAAGAGAAAAGGGGCCGTGCACCCAGCACAGGGGCTACGCAGCCACCGTTAATTCAAAGGGGCTTTGCTCCTGCTGTTCCTTGGCATGTCGCACAGCAGTACTAGCATTTCAGGGACTAGAACACTAAGGAAGAAGGTGAGGGTCATGTATCCTTTATTAGCTGTAAACAAGAATCTGTAAAATGCTTGTATTGGCCAAGTTGCTTGTTCTCAACACAGTAAAGGAAACAATTCTACCCATTTTACAGATGGAAAAACTGAGTCTTAAAAAAAAAAAGCTACTTGCCCCAGTGAGTTCATGGCCAACTTGGGAATTTCAGCCAGCACTCTAAGGCCCATATCCAGCACTTCAGTAACTGGAACATTCTGGCTTTCTCTTATTTCCATCCAGAGCAAAACAGACAGACTCCAGTCCGGTGAAAACTGATTGCAACTCCCCCTTTTAAACCACTCGGGAAAACTTTTGGATGTAAGCAAGAGCTTCTTTTATTTTTAACTTTGTCTAGCACCTAATTATTTGGGGTACTTGATAAATTATAAAGGTAGCCATGCCTTATTACGTCAATGGGGGTTTAGCTAAGGCTCAGTTTAGCTGGATCGGACCCACTCCTGTTATTTCAGATTCTCGCAGTCCAGTGTGACATCTTCCTTCACACACAAGCAGGACTGGTTTACACAGGGCCGGTTTATGACCACAACTCAGAACCCAGGCCACACAGAGAAAAGGCTGATGGAAAGTACACCCTTTGAACTCCTTATTTTGCCTAGACAAACCAGCCCCAATTTATGAGAGATAATTCCGGGGCTTTTAATACTTGCGTGCATCTCTGCATATCCAGCAGCTTCTCACCCTAACACTACAGTGCAGTGAAAAACCCGCACCCATCAAAATGTATTGACTCTGAACCATACAAGAGAAGCTGAAGTGAGCTCTGCCTCAAGAAAGCTGATGCTGGAATCAAATCTCACGTAGTCTTTAAAAGGCCCCTATTTGGCTGCTACGCGCTAGCAGTCCGCCAGGGCTCCTACCCCTCCGGAACTACCGAGAAAACCAACGAGCGCCAATGAAGGCGGAGGTTTTATCACAGCGGCGCAGAAGAGGGTTGGTTATTTTTTTGTAAGCTGAGCCGCGAGGGGCGGGACGAGGGACTCTGCGCTCCTCCTGCCACACCACGTCCTCCTTTGCCCCCCACCTTTAACGAGAAGGGAGAAATCCATTAAGTAGCCGCACATGAGAACTAGCCTAAGCGGGTCTACTCAGAAATCAGTCCCCATGTTTCCTGGCCGCCGCCGCCGCCAGGAAAGTGTCCTTGCGATTGCCAAGAACGGTGTCCTTAGCGGTAATAAGCCGCAGTGTGACTAACATGGAGTAGACCTGCCGAGGGTTGCGCCTCATCCGGGACGGGAAAGCCTCCCGACCGCCTGCCCTGCGCTGCGCTGACCCAACCACGACGCGGAAAACCAGGCGCAGGAGCCCGCCGCCGGTGCCCTCGCCCGCTCGGAGCAGCTACCCGTGTCGGAGTGAGCCGTGCGGGAGCTCAGCCAGGCGTTGCTGCCGCTGCCGCCGACATCTCGGGGCGCCTGAAAGAGCAGCAGCTGCTGCACGCCGCGAAGTCTTCTGAGCAGCCGGGCCATGGCCTCCGGGGAGCCGCTGGGCGCAGAGCGACTTTCCCGCTGCGCCTCCAGGAGTCCCCTCTGCGGCCGGAGGGAAGAACAAAGCCCCCCCTCGGCCTTCGCCGCCAGGCCCCGCCTGGCCTAGCTCTGCCTCTGCCTGGCTGACGCCTTATCTCTGCCCACAGCCCAGCGGAACGGACGAGACAGGGCGCGGGAGTTCGCCCAAGCAAGCGCCCTGCTGGCCCTCCTCCCTAGAAGGGATCCTGCGCTTCAGGGAGAAGTTCGACAGGCGGAGCTTGTGCTTTACTAGGAATAGGATGTAGTAGGAAAGAGCACGAGTCCAGTAGCAGCTTAAAGACTAACAACATTTGTGGCAGGGTCGGAGCTTTCCTGAGTCACTGCTCACTTCTTCAGATCTTTTTAGGCTTTTGTTAGTCTTTAAGCCGCTACGGGACTCTTGCTCCTTTCTACTGCTACAGACAGACTAACATGGCTACCCGTCTTGCTCTTACTAGTATGTGTGTGAGGGGGCCAATGCACTGTCAAAAGTTGCAGGAATAGGATCACAAATGCATCTCTCCCCATAGCTGTGGAACGGCCTCGAGTCTGATCAGTACTATTGTCCAAATGCAAGGGATGTTGTTATGACAGGAGCCACACTTCTCTACCTGTTTTTCCCCCCTCACAGTGAATCTACAGTTGAAAGACTCAGGAGGAGTTAATTCTCCTCTGCAACCCCTACCTTGTCACCTACCCCATAAAGAAGGATTTTTTCTGTTTGATTTCCATACCTATCTGAAGACGTGAGGGGTGGCTCATGAAAATTCATATTGAAATAAATGTTATTCTCTACGAACTTTTGTTTTAGTCCGCTACTAGTAGGTCAGAAGAGAAAAGAGAGACAGTCCTCTCCTCTGCTTTCTCTTTCCAAAGCTAATACTCTGTGTGTGTGATCTTGATGGGTGCGAAGGTTAAATCCTCATGTGTCTGTGTGTCAGAGAGAGAGAGAGAACTTGATGGGTGCGAAGGTTAAATCCTCATGTTCCCCGGCTCTAAATTGGGGCCTTAGGCAGCTACTATTGCCCTTCTTTAAAAAAAAAGAAATTCTGAAGATCCCCCCCCCCCCAGCGCCTCCTCTGATTGGGATTATGAAGGTGAAACGCCATTCCTTTGAATGTGGAGGGGTGGAGACAGAGCAGGATCACAAGCCCTTGTTCCCAGTCTCCACAAAGCTCATGCATGTTCTGCCTAGCAGGAAATTTTGGATGAGAAAAACAGAGGTGGTGTAAATGAGCGGTGCCCTGACCTGGATAGCTCAGGCTAGTCTGATATCATGAGATCTTGGAAGCTAAGCAGGATTGGCCCTGGCTAGTATTTGGGCGGGAGACCATCCAGGAAGTCTGTGGTCATGTAAGACAAGGGAAAAAGAATGTGATTTCTGACATTCTCTCCTTGATGTATATTGACAGCTGTCACTGTGCCTTCAAAAGTTTAATCATAATAGATCCAGGTTTTGGTATGTAACCTAGAATCTTTAGATTAGAGAAATTTATAGCAGAACATATATTTTATATCTGCATTTCTGTGTATAAGCCTTGGCTCTGTAGAAGCAATAAGAATGGAATGCTATTTAGAAGTTGCAAGGCGAAGTTTAATGTGATTCACAGCCTTTATCATCTAGCTCTCCACATGCAAGCCCAGGAAGGACCCAGTGTTCTCTAATATTCCCAGTGTTCTGAGGACAAGGTAAACAAGTGTAATTACTGACACCACTAAGAGATGCACTGAGTCAAATTATGCTTGTATGATGTTAACTGCCTGGTACCAATTAGATATTCTTTAATGTGCAAATTATATGTGATGTCATTTGGGGTATAAGACCTTCTGCCTTTCCTGGTTATGGCAGAATACAGTTTTGGAACTGCTGAGTGCAAAGGCACTCAGCCTTGTATTCCCGGTTTCAGTGCATTAAACAGATATTCATCTAACTCGTTGGACTCCGACTGTGTGTTTCCAATTCGGCAACGGGAGCACACAGCCACAGATTTGTATATCAGACACAATGCAAAGACAGGCAATGGCAAATGTCCTGTTCATCTCTTGCCTTGAAAACCCCATAAGAGGTTGCCACAAATCAGCTTGACGGCAAACAAAAAAAGCGAGATGCCTTTTTTTTGTGAAGAACAGACCATGTGAAGATTGTTTCTGTGCATATGGTTTGTAAATGTGTATGCCGTGTGCAGAAGCTTAGATGGGGAGGGTGAGAACAGCAGATCAAGTTCTGACCCATCAGCAATAGAATTTGATTACCTACCGTTCAAAGGTGTTCAGATGAATTGTCCACAAAGAATCTGCAGGAAGTGAGGCTGTGCACAACTCTTAAGGGCCTGATTAGATGATATGTTAAACATGAGTTGGGTTGCCGATGCTCCCTCTAAGCTGTGGAGTCTTGCGAGCAAAAATTCCACTTTGTGAGCTCCTGGCATTAAAGTTGTGAGCAAGCGATTTGGCTACTGCATGAATTAGATTGCTCTGGAGCCATCCTTCCTGAGCTAAGACAAAAATGTGTGAGCTGGAGGCTAAAAAACTGTGAGCTAGCTCACACTAACTCAGCTTAGAGGGAACACTGGCCCGGGACCCAGGCCAGCACTCACCTTAACAAAATTGTGTGTGTGTGTGTGGGGGGGACAAATGGGCTTTTGAATGCAGGGGCAGGTGGGGCTTTATCATCCCTTTCACTAGCAGAAAAATGTCAGCAGTGAGACAAACAGCCCCATCCCCCTCAGCCCTTTCCTGCTACCAAAAGCACGCCAAGTGGCTGGGAGGGATGATGAAGCTACCGTGCCATGCTTGCTCAGGAGTTAATCCCCCCAATTCTTATTTTTTGTTTATCTATTTTTTATTTTATTTATCCTTTATAAGATCATTACATAAATTACAGTTTTACAAAACAATACTCAACTTAAAAGCCAGCTATCATACATTCATTTTCAAGAAACCACACCATTTTATGCTCTGTCACACTCTGCTACTGAATTTGGATATGTGTGTGTGTGTTAAGTGCCACCAAGTTGCAGCAAATTTATGGTGACCCCAGCAAGGGGCTTTCAAGGCAAGTGAGAAGCAGAGGTGGTTTGCCACCACCTTCCTCTGCAGCATCTTCCTTGGTGGTCTCCCTTCCGAGTGCAGACCCAGCTTAGTTTCTGAGATCCAATGACCTCAGAATTGCCTTCTCTCCCCAAATATGTATTTAAAGCTCACCAGTTTTCTTCATACTTTATACTCACAAAATGTTGCAGTGCAGTTAATTTTACCATTTGCAGAGTATTTTGAACTTTTAGCAACCGTTCTTCCTTATTAGGAAGTATGCGTCTGCCAATACATAGTGAAAATAATTCTTGTCACCATTAATAAATTAGCACCAGTTCCTTATGAACAACTGGAATTATTTCAGTGCAATTAAGTAAAAAAAAACAAAAACCACTTGTGGCTTCATTGGAAGAATAACATTCCAAATTTCATAACTTTATGAACCATTTTCCAGAAAATCTGCACTCAACAAGACTCTGCACCATATATGTTGAAAGTCAGCTTTTCCAACAGGCAAAACTAGCATGTATTGTTTATCCTACCACTAATTTTAGATAATCTCAAAGGTGTTGTATACCATCAATTAATCATTTTTAAACAATTCTCTCTTAACAGGATGATCACAGACAATAATGATCCTTTTGTACAGATAAATCTGCATTTCTCAGCATTTAATTTAAATCCTGAACCATTTTTATTGTGTTCGTTATCATTACTGCACAATAAATTTAAATATCTTCTGGCCTTAGCATTTTCCCAGTTCTTGCATTTTTGATGTCAGTGTTTTGAGTAAATTCTTTGTTTCCAGTTAATGGATGCTAGTTAAGAATTGGCAGGGGACAAGTACATACTACATTTGTTTCAAACCTCTACGAATAGTGTTAATTTTTAAAGTGAGAGCCAGGTCACATGTTAAATGCAAATTAGGTTGGGGTTTCCTGCAATCCCCACTCACATTTAACATATTGTCTAATCAGACCCTAAATGTAACACTTTTAACAGAAGCTCTGCTCAGGGCCGGCTCTCTCACTAGGCCAGCTAGTCTCTGGCCTAGGGCGGAGCTCCGAACAGGGCGCCAACTGCCCTGCCACCCTCCCCCCGCCAGAAAGGCGGCAGCACACATGCTGTTCTGTGCCACCGTGTAGCCATCCATAGGGCACTCCTGCCCGCCCCAACTCACACGCGGCGCGCCCTTTGGTCCCCATCGCTGATTCGCTGCAGCACTACGAGCGCCCCCCCTGCGGCTGGCCCTGAGTGGGTGATGGCAGGGGGGGGTGCGTGCATGCTGGCCAGGGCCAGGGTGCCCTGCAGGGAGGGGGCTGCTCCGCCCGGGGAAGAAGAGCCGGCCCAGCACGGCAGAAGCGGCAGGCGTGGGGGCGCACTGCCAAGGGCTGTCTGTCCTCAGCCCCCTCCCAGCCCTGCCCCACAGGTGTCCCGACCGCGCCGAGCCTCTGCCCACCCCCCATCACAGTGGCGGGGGGCCCTCCATCCCCCTCCCAGCCAGTCAGGCGGCGACGG